AAGAAAGAAAGAAAAAAAAAAAAAAAAATAAAAAGACTGGAGAGGAAAAAAAAAAAAGGACTGGAGGAAAGAAAGAAAGAAAGAAAGAAAGAAAGAAAAAAGAAAAAAAGAAAGAAAGAAAAAAAAAAGAAAAAAAGAAAAGAAAAGACGGGAAAGAAAAGAAAAAAGAAAGAAAAGAAAAAAGAAAAGAAAGAAAGAAAGAAAAGGAGAAAAAAAGAAAAAAAAAAAGGCTGGAGAGGAGAAAGAAAGAAAGAAAAAAAGAAAGTAAGAAAGAAAGACTGGAGAGAAGAAAGAAAGAAAGAAAGAAAGAAAGAAAAAGAAAGAAAGAAAAAGAAAGATGAGAAAGAAAGAGAAGAAAAAAGAAAAAAGAAGAAAAGAAAAGAAAAAAAGAAAGGCTGGAGAGGAGAAAAAAGAAAGAAAAAAGAAAGTAAGAAAGAAAGACTGGAGAGGAGAAAGAAAAAATTTGGGATCAAAATGTAGTATCTCTTCTCTTTATCTCTAATCAGTCAGTTAAGTTTCATGCGTGAGATACTGGGATCAAAGTGTAGTATCTGTTCTCCTTATCTCAAATCAGTCAGTTAAGTGCCATACGGCATATGCAGGGATCAAAGTGTAGTATCTGTTCTCCTCATCCTTAATCGGTCAGATAAGCGCCATACCTGATACAGGTTTGAGTGATCATGCCCCTTTCGATACGTGACTGAGTATAGCGAAGGTTTTCCCATAGTATGTTGCCACTTCGTTCTGTGGTATATTGGTTGACAACCAAGGCTATAGAACGCATTCCATCCTGCCAACCATGATAACAACATTTAAATGCCATCCGTGATACACGCTTGGGCGATCATGTCTCTTTCGATTCCTGTTTGACTAAACAGAAGATTTTCCCGCAGTAGGTTGCCATTTCTTTCTTCGGTAGACTGGTTAACAATCAAGGCTACAGAACCCACCCTGCTTTGCTGTCGAGACATGATAACAATAGTCAGTCAGTTCAAATGGTGTCATTGTTTTTAGTGCTATTCAATGATTTTATTCTAAAGATAGTGAGAGTTTTAAGCAAGAATAATTTTGGGACAATTAATATGAGTAAATTGGGTCGCGTTTTGTCCCGTTTATACTTTTCCCCAGTTTCTTGAAATAACTAGAAATTTATCCCTCATTTACTGATTAGGATTGGTTTGCCGGTTTTTTTTCTAAAAACATCTTTCCATTATCTTTCACCCCCAGTAACGTCTTGCGTACTAATGGCATTATCGCCTTGCTTAGGTGAAACCATCATATATATATATATATATATATATATATATATATATATATATATATATATATATATCTTATCCGACAATTGTTTTAAGATATTTTTATTATAAACAGAGCATTTACTTAAATATTTGTATCTATAAAACGAATGTATAAACATAAAACTGTTTTAAAATAATTGTCGGACTTTCATAATGTGTGACGTCATTTGTTTACATTTGGATACGCACTGAGCAGATATGAATGTACGTGAGAGATTCATTGATGATTGAATTTTAAAAGCAGTAAATTCGACTTTGCTAACCGAACGATCCTCTGTGGCCGAACCGGTTAAAAGGCACGTCAGGCTATATGACGATTCTGTATAGGATGCATGTTCGAATCCTGTCGGAGAACGAATATTTTCTATGAGAATTTATTATAAACAGAGCATTTACTTAAACACTTGCATCTATAAAAATAATGTATATATATATATATATATATATATATATATCCTTTGTCGTACTTTGTATTTAATTTTCATTAGCTCTCAACTTGGTATTTATGCTAATGGCAACCATTTAATCCTGTCTAGATATTAAGTCTGATCAGATCGATAAGGTCAAATTGGCGGCTGATGTCAAAAACGACATTAAGTCTGTTGTTAACAGGGTCAATGAATGGCTTGTTAATTTTAACGCCTCCAAAACTAAACTTCTCTCCATTAATCATCTGAGAGACACCTCTCTGCCTTCCATCAGTATGGCTGATACTAACCTCCATGTAAGTGACTCATTGCACCTTCTACAGATAACGTTCTCGGCCGACATGAAGTTGAAAGACTATATTGAATCCTAGGTCAGATGCTAAGAAGATTGGCTCACTGTGTAATGCTAGACTTTTTTTTTATCACATAAGGTCTGGTGCTCCCGCTCTATACCTAGAGATCCTTGGTAAAATCCAAAGAAGAATCAGCAATATTATTGGGCTTGATCTGGCATCTCGACTTCAGTCACTTTCCCACTGCCGTAAAGTTGCTCCCCCATGCGTTTTCTATAAATACTTCCATGGCAACTGTTCAGATTAGCTCTTCACCATGAAACCGGACGTTGTTATTTTAAGCGCAGTACTAGACGAGATGAGGTATTGTAACTATTCACACGATTTACATTGTTCGGACTGTTCTCCTCATCTTTACTTTCACATTTGACGACGTTTCGGCCATTTTCGTGCCTTCTTCAGGTGTTAAAAAAATTGTTTGAAGTAAGCCAGTGACTTAATCCAAAGAGTTGTGACTTCAGTATCTGGTTACAGCAGATGTGAACTTGGTGAGCTGAGTTACTAAAGGAAATTAACTGAAACTGAAATAGCCAGAAAAGTCGTGACACGTGAAACTAGTACAATCTGCCCCGGGGGACGAAAATAAAGTTTTCGGCTCGAAATTCCAACGTATATCACCCGAAGAAAGAAAGCCGGAGTGTACACCTCTTGCAATGTCGTGAATATGATAAGAAATGCGAGGCCAACAGTCCGAACAAAATAAATCGTATAAAATGTCACAGACTATTATAGTAAAATGTTACACGAAACTGAAAACGTATTGGAAAAGAGGATGATGCTTTTCAGAAACTAAGCAATGTATTAAGAAATGAGAAAATATCGTCGGAAACAGAGAGTAATGAACTGTTAAGTCACGCCCAATCTCCTATATGGCAGGCTTGAAGTGACAAGGACTTGGTTCTATCTGTGAAGGTGGAGAATACCATAGTCAGATTATGTAAGCATGTGAGCAATGAGGAAGTCTTAAGAGAAATAGACAACATGCAAAGTCGTTCGTATAATCAAGAGATACTTGGCATTGCTGGGATATATAAAGAAGAAAGGAGGTAATTTAACACTTACAAGATATATTAAGCTGAAGAATAGGGAACTTTATTTGGAGTTTCAGTGCCAAGACGGAGCCTTTCTCATATGCCTTCATTTGGAACACGAAAGAATCGATGTAAAATCACAGAACACGGAAAACTTTCATAGAAACCGCCATTGAACGGTCCAGATGCGCAAGAAATGCGCGATGCAATCTGATTGGCTGATACGAAGACACGCCAGCTAATCTCAAGGCTTGTATCATTGGGCCGACGGATTGCCCCAACTGTCTTCTTCGTCATTCGACTTTTCGGTTGATATAAATCGGCCCTGTTGTCTCCTAAGAGTTAATAGCACGGACACAGGAGAATGGCGTACTAAACATGTTCGTGTGAAAGGGTTGCATAACAAGGACGAAAACTGATTGTAAAGGATCAAAAATTACTTAGTGTAGGACGTTTTGTAGAACCTTGTTCACCAACGCAATGTCTAATTACTCATGTCCTGTGTAATCTTCTATATGGCAAACAGGAAGCTTTTCGATTATGATTTTATAGCGCCTGTATATAGGGTCTGATGAAGTATATAGTACTTTAATCAAAGAAGAATATGCCGTTAACTGAAGTTTTGGAATTACCATTCTTGAACCTTTGAAGTTAAGAGGATTAGAATAGGTTTATTAAGTTTGGAAAAAAAAATCTTATGTTTTTATTCAGAGTTTTTTACAATGTCTTTTTTACTTTTTTTTTTCTCAAATTTGCGATAGAATTACTTTCCCGCCAATTCAGCCGTCCGTGTTGTTTGGTAGTTTGAAAACTGATCGATAAAAAGAGTAGAGATTAGGAAGATAGAAAGAGAAAGAAAAGAGATGGAGAGACAGAAAGCGGTTAGAGAGAAAAAAATGATTGGTTTTTGAAGGTTGTTGTGAAAGGTGAAATGCTTTTTAAGTAATTACTAGTAGTGAAGTAATCTGTTTTTTTTTTTTTTTTTTTTTTTTGTGGATTTTTTTCGGTGGTGGTGGGAAGGGATCCTGATTATTCTCTTCCAAAATGTCGACGCTTCCCTCCCCCACCATGACGTGTCTGTTGGATTGTTTGTAGGCTGATTTCACTCTTAGCAATCTTCAGAGCATAAGGAAGATTCGGAGGGGGAAAAAGAGAACGTCAAATGGTAAGAAAGATAAGAAGAATGAAAAGCAAACGAAAGAGAAAAAGAAAGAAAGAAGAGTAAAAAAAAAAGAGAGACAGAAAGACACAGAAATCAATAAGGAAAAAAAAGAAGGAAATAAAGAAAAAAAAAGACGGTGGTGTATAAATTGAGGAAGACGAAAATAAAATATGAATAATGAATGAAAAGAACTAGAAGGAAAAAGAAAGAAAGAAAGAAAGAAAGAATAGGTGAAGAATAAAGGAAGAAAATGCAAAGAGAAGAAAAACCATATATAAAAAGAAAAAAGGAAAAGAAAGAAGAAATAATAGAGAAAGACAAGAAGATAAACCCAACTAAAGAAAAAAGGGAAGAAAGAAAAAGGAAAAGAGATGAAGAAAAAAGAATAATGGAATAAAAACGAATAAGGGAATAAAAAAAAGAATAATAGAATAAAAAAGAAATAATGGAATAAAAAAAGAAATACGAACCAGATCTCAAGAAAAACCCAAAACAAAAAAGAATGTAAAAAAAAAAGACATTGTAATCGAAAATGGAAAATAACTCCTGCTTATATATATATATATATATATATATATATATATATATATATATATGCATATATATATATGTATGTGTGTGTGTGTGTGTGTGTGTGTGTGTGTGTGTGTGGAATCTGATTTTAATAATGGGTTCATTTACTTTGGCCCTGTGTCAGAACTAACCTATGATTAGAAATACGTTCGATGAATATAGTAACTGTCACCATAAGAAGCGAATTTCGCAGACCTTTCGTTAGTGGATTAAAATCGATCCATTGTTGTGACCTTGAGACTAAGCATCTATCTATCTATCTATCTATCTATCTATCTATCTATCTATCTATCTATCTATCTGTTTATATTATCCACCTTTCTCAGTCTGATCTTATCTATCTATCTATTCATATCCCATCTATCGCAGGCTGTTCATATCTATCTATCTATTTATCTGTTTTATATATATATATATATATATATATATATATATTTATTTGTTTCACCCCAAGCATCTTTCGGTAAAAACTAAACGCAATGAGTTATAGAGAGTCAAAAGCGAGAGCAAATAGGATTGATCGATGAAAGGGTAAAAAGGATAGGGGATAGATCAAGGCATTATCCACCTTTCTCAGTATGATCTTATCTATCTATCTATCTATCTATCTATCTATCTATCTATCTATCTATTCATATCAAACATCTATCTATCTATCTATCTATCTATCTATCTATCTATCTATCTATCTATCTATCTATCTATTTCAATCTGTTTGTTATCTCTAAAAGAAAGAATTTTGATCTATCTATCTATCTATCTATCTATCTATCTATCTATCTATCTATCTATCTATCTAAGAAGACGTCTGCTACACTGCGATGTTTGGTAGAACGCAAAAACTTTAAAGAATTACATCATAACCTAATCCCATTGGTCTTGTGTCAGACTTAATGTTTTTCAGGTGCTTTTTTAGATGCGATGTTTAGGAAGATAATTTGTGGAGAATCTTTATTAGTGCAACGTATTTTAAATCTTACGAACAGGTTTAAATCTTATGTCAGAATGAAGTGTTTGTCCGTGTGTGTCCATAAAAAAAAAAAAATTGAGATACGCACAAAAAATATAAGAGAAAAACGGACGGGAGTAATTGATAACAAATCACATTAGAATGATAAAAAGAACAACCCCCCCCAAAAAAAAACAAAACAAAAAAAACACAAACAAAAAAACAACATTCTAATATATGAAACAAGAAAGAAAAGAAGCGAAAACATCGAATAAAAACAAGGAAAGATGAAACATTGATATTATGCAAATGCTAATCCCTTCATGGGTACACATGAAGAACAATGATGTTATATACACAATAGAATAATTAAATTTACCTATATATATATATATATATATATATATATATATATATATATATATATATATATATGAAAAACATTTATGGTGAATGGAGGCTCAGATTGAGGAATCGGAAAGACGAGTTCGAATTTTCTTACGTGATTAAATACTCTTGGGAAAGGTATGAATCCACTTATTCTCCCCTCCCAGCTATGGGTAAATAGTAGAACAGACTAGGATGGCAACTAAAAAGATACTGCAAAAAATAAATTAACCCTATTATTGGGGAAAAAAAAATGCTTTGTCATAATGTATGGAAAGAAACATGTTCGCCTTCATCTAAGAAAATCAAGCAGCACATTTCTGACTGATTGTTCAAGATTTCATCTGGATTAACGGCATTTAGATCTTTTGGCATGTTGTCTGTTGGTTCCTCCAATATATATATACCTCCTCGGACTAAATTTGTTATGTTGGTTCGACTGCACATGCGCACGAAAATGGAATGTATGGGAATAAAAAAAAATTTAATTTCTTTTTATTTTTCAGATGGGCAACCAACGTATTGGTTGGATTGTTTTGTAAAATCTCTCTTTTGTCTTAACACGTTTCTATCTATCTATCTATCTATCTATCTATAATTATTTATTCGGAAGTTATAACATAAATATGTTATAAAATAGTTATAACAAAAATACTGCCATTTTGTTATGAAAACACTTCAGGTGTATATCAAGTGACTGTGTTGAATGTAGAATAAAGGTGTTAAAAAACTCAAAGAAATTTTTGATTTATGTTATAATTTTCGAATAAATAATTATATGTGCTGTTCTGCATTGAACACTTTTAATAATAGTATTTTTTTTGGTTATAAGAATTTGAAGGGTAAATACACTAATCCTATACTTACTTATTTTATATATATATATATATATATATATATATATATATATATATATATATGAATGAGATCTGTCTGAAAAATAAAGTGATGAGGCTGAGAACGTTCTTCGATATTCAAAAAATTTAATAACATGGCCATACGATCAATCATCAAGTCTACAAAGAGATCCTGCGGGGGTTCTTTCGCATAGTGCGCAAGAAGAGACGAGATATGTGGTCAAGGACAAATGTGTCTCTTTAACAGACAATACATAAACTCATCAACGCCGTGATCATCCGGCAGTCCGTGGCAGAGAAGGGCGTAGCTGGACTAGCACAAACTCACTAATCACTTTTTTTTTTTTTTTCCCAAAGCTCATGTGGATGATCAAGGGAACACTCTTTGTAGGTGTGGAGGCCATCAAGAATGCCGTAACGACGCAGCTGAGGTGCATCCAAGAAGAATCCTTCCAGCGTTGCATAGAAACGTGGATGGAAAAGTGCATTAGACTCAAGGAAGATTGCTTATTTGAAGGAAAACCATGAAATTTTGTAGTTTATAATATATATAAGAATATGAAATAAATTGTTTGTGACACCAGTACGTTATATTTGAACAGAAAAATATTAAAAAATGTTTTGTTTTCGCATATTTTTTTCAGGTTTTTTCATTAAAAAATATAATTTTCAAATTTATTTCATATTTGTATATTGTTTGTTTACCAGTATATTCTATATATATATATATATATATATATATATATATGAGTTAAGAACCTAGAATGAAAATGAGACTGAGATAGAGAGATGTGAACAAATAAATATATATATATAGAGAGAGAAAAATCAATAAAAAAAAATAGATAAAAGAAAAGGTCTAAAAATCGTTTTTTTCTGTCAGCCCTCAAACTCAGTTTCTCAACCGAGCAATGGATATGAGAATCTATAAAAAGATCATTCAAACCATCAATATATAAATATGGGTACCAACATTCATATTCTGGCTTCCATCTTCTAAGTCCATTCAAGAACCATCAAGAGAACGGTGAATAAGTTTAAAAAAGAGGGAATAATAGAGAGGAAATCTGGATCAGGAGGTCACAACCGGAAGAGAGATCATCACTGCAACTTAGAGCTAAAGAGATCAATTAGAAAAGATCCAAATGAACCCATAAGACATTTGGCACATGAGAGCCAAAAGAGCAATGAAAAAAAACTTGCAAATGAAATCATACTATATATATATATTTAAATAGGTTTGAAACGGTACAAAAGCGTATTAAGGCATTAAAAACTAGAAATTTTGTATTCAAATGTAGTTGTGGATGCGACTACATAGGTAGAACGACACAGCGGTTGGACGTTAAAATTAAACAACACGTACCTGCTATAATACTGAATAAAAATTTTCTTTGGGCGATACCATTCGTAACACGTATGGATCTTCGATTGCGTATCATTTTATAAAGAATCCAACTTGTGCGATGGATTTAAGTGTGAACTGGTTTTCCGTTTTGGCCAGTTCGCACTAAAATTTTTCTATCTTAAGTTTTGTTGGAGTTATTACATCAGGTCCATAAGCTGCCTGCTCTTTGCAAACAAAAGATTGTTTAAATTTAGACTTGCTGTTCTGCGCTTCTAGCATTTTGGTTGGTATAATTTTTTTTTCCTTCCCTGTACATTCATTCATGTCATCCATGACAGACTTTTTTTCTTTTCTTCATAATCTTTCCCCGTTAACAGTTCTGACGAGAGGGACGAAATTGGTCGACTGGTGTGTGTTTTTTTTTAAACTTATCATGGCCTACAATACAAAATTTCTAGTTTTTAATGCCTTAATATATATATATATATATATATATATATATATATATTATTTACTTTTCATATTTCAATCCTTTATGAGATTACGATCCTTAGCTATGATTAATTAATAAAGAACATGTCTTTTTCGTTTATGATCGTTTTCATCACGATTTATCTGTTAAGTTTGGAGAGTGTTGAAACTTGACTAATGCATGGAATAATAATGCAACACAAAATGTACTTAGAACAAAATGTATTGAAACAAGAAAGTGTACACAATATTTACATATAGTCTTTTGTATATTCCTGGTAAGACCGTTCCTGGAGAATGTGTTGACTGAGTCGCAGTCGGGCAGAGTCTCTGGTTGAATCTCTTGATTCCTTCCTCTCTTCCCGGTACCAACCATATTTATATGGTCGGTACTCCACTATGCAAATTAGGTGGATCCTACCACAACAGAGAGTAATTCTATATTCTTATTGTTCGAAGTAGAATCCAATAGTGTTATAAAATCCCCAGAGAATTCCACTAAGATATCTTTAATCATTTCTAAGATACAACAGTTCAGAGCTTAATATAACAATTGGACAATTTTGCTGTTACACGATTTGGACAATTATGCTCTCATACCTGGTGTGTAATTATGGCGTTAAATAGAACTGATGTTAAGATCTTAATACTAAATAAATGTGTGTGGGGTGGTATTTGAGGAAGTTTCCTCCCAATCCTTTATCAGAAAAAAAATCGCTGGCGAAACAACGAAATACACTTTAAGGGGATTAATTAGGAGAACAAAACTAGTTTGCGATTAAAATATAAAATCATTTTAATCAAAGTTAGAAAATCAATTCCATTTTTGATGATTAAAAGGAATCAAATTGGTAAACCTAGCCGAAAAAGCACCAGAAATCGACCAATAAAGGAAACATTTTGAGAGAACATTCATCATTTTCTGCTTAACTTTTGGTGATCTTATAGGAACCGTTGTTTCAACGTGATATGGCCGTAATTCCTCAAAGTTTAAATTCAATAACACCTTAATTCTATTAACATTATTTTCAACAAGTTGGAAATCTGCCATCTAAACCCCCAGACCAAATTCTGTCGACTATTTGCGGACTTCCAATAGTCTTAATAAAATGGATCAGAGAATTCCTCTTTAAGATATCTTTTAATCATTTCTAAGATACAACAGTTCAAAGCTTAATATAACAATTGGACAATTTTGCTGTTACAATTAACCTTTTGGATAAAAATATCCTTATATTGGCGTGTTTTTAATGTCTCTTTCCATTTGGCTATTTTTGTAGTGAGTTTTAGATAATTAAAATTTTTAGCCCCTGTGCAAAAAATACGATTAGTGGATATGAAGTCGGTCACTTCAAGAGATGACTCAAGTAGCAAAATCTTAAATATCAGACAATAAAAAAAAAGTGAAATGAAATCTTAGAACTTCTCAAGCTGAATTTTGTTTGCCTTCGAAGTTTGCAAACAAAGACATCAATTGTGGAGAATTCGATCCGACTCTGGGAGCCGACGTTGTCTGCAGAAGTCGCAGAAGACGGGAATGGTTAATGTATTGTTGGCGAAATTCTTTGCTTCAGGGATTTGTTGATACAGTATCAATTATAAATGCAGGAAAATAGTGGAACTCTTTAGTGCGAAAAGTCAGAAATCGAGATTGGAAGACGAATCGGCCGAAATCAATAGAGGAGAAAATTGATTTCATATCTATATATCTATCTCTCTATCTCTCTCTCTCTCTCTCTATATATATATATATATATATGCGTGATCAGACTGAAAGCGATGGATATAAGAAGTGGTAGAAATAAAATAGACAGAGGTAA